AGCACAGTAATTGTGGCCAGCCTCTCCTTTGGAAAAACCTTACATATGCCTGTGGGTATTAGTGCAAGTTCAAGTGATAGCGTCAGGAGAAAGCGAAAGAGAGATACAGAAAGACAAAAAAAATGGAACAGTCTTTGCCCTCTGGGAGCTTACATTCTGTTGGGGAAGACAAAGTGTACTTATATAAGTATTTTTTGTTTTGGTCTAGATCCATGATTCCTTCTATGTAGTTCTCTGCCAGAAGTGTCAAATGTGTTGCCTAAAAGTCCCCAACCAGATTAACTGTAACTGGAAAATGCTTAACAAAATAAATAAAAATACAATACAACATAGACAATGTTATTTTGTGGTTTTCTAAGTCAACATGCAGACATCAGGGATCTGTTGCTTTTGAAATTGATACCACTTGTCTACACCAGTGCTGATTTGCAATTTGCAGTTACAAGAGAGTTAAAAGAATTGCCTGGACACTAAGAGGTTAAGTGACTTGTCCAGAGTCACATAGCTAGTATATAGCAGAGACAGGAGTTGAACCCAGGTCTTTCCTGCAGTTTTCCTGACTGCCAGGTCTACTCTCTAGGTACCTTTTCAACCTCTTCTATGGAATTATTTACAAAATAAATACTGTATGAGGTCATTTTGAAAGGAGGCATTAATATTTGGAGGCTGGTGTATAGGTGGGACTCGGGGAAGGCGTCACCTAGATGATACTGTTTAGTCGGACCTTTTATGGAACCTGGGGTTCTCCAAGGCAACCATTTCTTGAATGGGTGACATTTTATGTGCAGATGTTGGAGATGGTGTTTGGAACAACAAAGACTAGTCTTGTTGGACCATAATAGTGCAGGAAGGAGGGTGAGGAATAATGAAGGTGGACATGGAGTTAGGGGCCAGTTTTTGAAGGCTCTAAATTTAACCCATGAAATGTTGTTTCATGTGGCAATTGACTGAATGGGTAGCTCCTTTCCCAGAGACCCTTGTATAGGTGGAAGAAGGAAGCCTCAACTCCAAAAGTCTTCCTTTCAAATGAATAAATAGTCCTGGGCAAGGCTGGGGGGTGGCCTGGTTTCAAAAGTGTCTGGCACCATTCCAAAGGAAGTCAGACTTCATTGAGGTGAGTGCCAACCTCATGAAACAGCTTCCCCCCCCCCAATATTCCACAGGTAGGATTTTATGACCTACAATTGCATCTCCAGTGGGCCACCCTACTCTGCTTAGCACAGGGGCAAATGCTCATGTGGATTGGCTGCTGTCCTCCCCTAAGCTTCCATTCTGAGGCAGCATGGTCTTATCACTGGGGACTGTTGGAACAGTCTGATGTCTCCAAGTACCACCAGGACAACTGATTAAGGGCATTCTGGCAGAGTGGAAGGGGTCCTGGATTTGGCATGGGATGACCTGAGTTCAAACATCGGCCCCTCAGACCAGTGTGAATTTGGTAAAGTTATTTCCTTTCCCTGGGTTTGAGAAAATGAGGAGATGGGACTTGATGATGTCCATGGTGTCTTAGGTGATCTCCAGGGTCCTTCTGACTTTTGTATTCTACAAATCCAGTGATCCTTGTGACCAAGAATCCCATGGTCTCTTCTGGGAAAGGATCATCCTACAAAAGGAAAATCCTTTAAGGAAGGCTAAGTGGTACAGAACAGTGGGGAAAGCATTGGATTTGGAGTGGGGAGGACCTCCGTTAAAATCCTACCTCTTTGTGACCTTGGGCAAATCTCTTCACATGTCCTTATCTGTAGAATCATGGGGTTGAGCTCAATGATTTCTAAGGTTTCCTTCCAGCTCTAAATCTATATTCTATACTCAAGCTGGAAAATAGGATCCGATGATGCCGGTGATCTCTTTGAGAGTGTGCCAGTCTAATTGAAACAAATGCCCAGCGTGCCAAGCTCCCAGGGAGAGTTTCCATGTTTTCCAGGGGGTACTACACAGAAGTCAACTTTGCACCCCTTGCTGGGGGAGCTTACATCTTCCTCCACCCCACTCCAGGGAAGACCTCTCTAATCCTTGGAGAGATGTGGTTACCCCTATTTCCCTCTGAGCCTTCTGCCTTTACACCACAATTGAAGTTGCCTTGGGGGCTCTCAGCATGTTCCTTGCTTAAGAACATATGAGAAGATGAGAAAAGAGAGAGAGACAGAATATGAGAAAGTAGAGACAGAGACAGACAGATGATGATTTTCAGAAGATTTTCTGTCCAGCCAGACCTAGCCCCTTGCCTCCCTCCAGTCCCCGTCTCCTCCATTCTCTAGGGTCTTCTGTCTCTTGTCACATCCTGGCTGCGTAGTTTTAATGAGAAGTTTTAATGAGAAGGGAAGTGGTTCCTTGAACTCATAGGTCATCAGCAGAACACAGGACCGTGGAAACCTCAAAGAAAGGGTTTATGATGGAAATATTTTCGGGGCGGGGGTGAACTGATGGATGGGCTGTGAAGAGGGATTTTTCCAGAGCTGTTTGGGAGATGTGGGGAGGGTTGTGTAGGGATAACTGGGATTGACCATATGGGGCAAAGCAAATTTTAACTAATAATAGTAACTGAGAGAAACATGTGGTTGTCAATGAGGCTTGGCTTTTGACTTTCCAAATTCAAGCTTCCCTCATCTTTCCTACAAGAATGGAAACTATAGTATGGAAAAGTAGCAATGAAACTGGTCTGGAGTCACTCTTTTACCCTTGGAAATCACAAGGATTGGAATCTTTGGCAGGAAGGATGATTTAGCCCACCTCTCGGCCTCCAACCTGAAGTGCCCCCTCCCTGTTGTAGATGCAGAGATAGCCACGCTGCCCTCCCAGTCCTTGAAGGGAATGTCCTCTGGCTTCCTTCAGCGGCTTCTCCTCTGTTCCTTCAAAGACCAGCTCAAGTAACCCCCCCCATCCCTGACATCTTCTGTGACCACACAAACCACATTGATCCCCTCACTTTCTGAACTCTAACAGCATGGGGGAGTCATAGAATCCCAGAACGTCACATTCTAAAGGGGCCTTAGCACAGAGAATGTCAGAGCTAGAGGGGACCTTTGAGCAGAGAATGCCAGAGCTGGGAGGGGCCTTAGAACATGGAATGTCAGACCTAGGAGGAGTTGTAGAACAGGGAATGTTAGAACTGGGAGGGACCTCAGAAGGGAGAACTTCAGAGCTGGGAGGGGACTTAGAACAGGGGATGTCAGAGCTGAGAGGGGCCTTAGGGGATGTCAGAGCTGGGAGGAATCATTCTAACAAAGAATGTTACAGCTGGGAGGAGACCTTAGGGACAGACAGTGTCAGAGACAGGGGGGATCTTAGAACATGAAATGTCAGAGCTGGGAGGAAACCTTAGGGACAGAAAATATCAGAGCTGGGAAGGATCTTAGAACATGGAATGTCAGAGCTGTGAGGGATCTTAGAACATAGAAAGTCAGAGCTGGGAGGGGCTTTAGGACAGGGAATGTCAGAGCTGGGAGGAGACTTAGAACATGGAATGAGAGTTGGTAAGGCCCTGAGAGCACAGAATGTCAGATCCCACCCGCTTCTTCTTGGTAGGTGCTATTATTATCCTCATTTTACTACTAAGGAAATCCAGGCCCAGAGAAATGAAGTCCTTTGCCTAGGATCTTACAGCTTGGAAGGGTGAGAGCCAGGACTTCTTCCCAAGTCTTCTGACCACCAGTCCAGCGCTCTCTTCATGCCGTGATGCTTGTCTAATCCATCCATTGTCTGGGCTCTGGCATTCAGTGGTTGCTTATGTTATTTCTCTTGTCATTTCATGCGTGTTAGTCTTGTCTCCCCAGATGGATCGTAAGTTCCCTGAAGGCCAGAATTGTGCCTCCTAGGTTTTCTTTATCCCCCCATCAGCCTGCAGATGTCTAGGAGTTCAACGAAGAACTTGGGTAATTCTGTTTGAAAGCCTGCCTTAATGAAGCCCCTGGTGGTTGGTTCTTTGATGGAGGCTGTCCAGAAAGGATGAGGTAGGCTTAGCTCCCATCCTTGGGGACTTTTAAATCTAAGGCAGGTACGCAGAGCCAGACAGAGGAAGCCCTGACTGTAGGCTAGGGCCTTGTTCCATCCAGGATGCTGGAGCCACTGCGGGGCCCGAATGGCGAGGCTTCCTTTCACAGGTCTCCCAAATCATGCGTCTTAGAGGTGGCGGGTTCTGGGAGCACAGGACTGTAGATTTAGAGCCAGAAGGACTTCTAGTAGCCATCTCGTCCAGCAGCAACAAAACAGAATGGGAGAGAGACGTATCAGACCCTCAGAAGGAATAGAATGGGGCGTATCCACGAGAGTCCAGCTTTTTGTAAGACAAATAAGCAAAAAGCCAAAAATCAAACCTCAGACACCAGGAGGCAAACCCCAGATCTAAGTAAATGATAAATTCTGAGTGGGCCAGATAGATTTCAGAGTAGAATAAAAAAAATATAATAATGCTCAATGGATCGTCTAGGTCCAAGTTGGGAGCCTGTGGTCTTAAGGCATGCAGCCTGGCTCATCATGGAAAGAGTACTGGGTTTGGAGTGCAGATGACCAGGGTTCGAATCCTGACTCTGCCACTCACTAGCTGTGTGATCCTAGGCATGTCCCTTATTGGATCTGGGCCTCAAGTTGTTCAACAGTAAAAGGAGTTAAATTAGGTGAATTCCAAGTAATCTGTTGGCATTAAATCTCCCATCCTATGATGCTGAGGATGTGTCTTGTCCAAGGTCACACAAGAGAAGTAAAGGGCAGAGCTGGGACTCATCAGAGATTCCGAACTGGAAAGGATCTTGTAACCATGGAGTCCGGCCCCTTCATTTTACAGATGAGGAAACGGAGGCCTGGAGAGGTTAAGAGACTTGGCCAGGGTCATGCATCTAGTAAGTGTCTGAGGCAGAATTCAAACTCAAGCCTTTCTGATTCCGGTTCCGGTGGTTTATCTGCCTTCCTGCCTCTTTGCCCTCTGAGTCCAGATATGCTGTGCAAGGTAATATTTCCCTCCTCTCTCCCTAATTAACTCTCCTCCCCTGCTTCTTTTTTTTCAGGACTGCTTATTACACAGACTATCGGCAGGTATACAGCATGGAGTACCAGACCGTCTATAAGTGCTGCCCAGGATGGTACCAGCTCGGTAATGACAGAGGCTGCCTCTACCGTAAGTCCCCCAGCCCCTGCCGCCCGCCCTGAGATCTGGTTCATATTACCCTTCCCCCCCTTCTCCATCCTGCTCCCCACCCCCTCCACCTCGCAGCTGCAGCAGACACTATTAATCTCTGTCTCATAAAAGGGAGTTTCTAATGGGGGGAATACATTTTCTCCAGACACGGTCAGATATTTTTTTTTCCCTGGGCTTTATAGAACTTCCTCACTCCAACATGAAAAGGTTTCCAGGGTCTGTTCACTCACCGACTCGGTTTGCCAAAAACTATTAAAAATAAAATAATAAAACACAGGAGTAAAAGAAAAAAAAACCCTCATAAATTCCCCAAACACCCGTCACTGGCAGAAGCTGTGGAAAGACTAAGCTGGGCTGTGATCAGAGCTGTCACCATGTTGAACATGACTTGTTGGCCGTGAAGGGAGGGTCTCAGCCAACGGGATTCCATCTGGGCCAACAGGCTTGCTCATTCCCGTTTTTTCCTCACTCTCTTCACATCCTTCAGATGGTACCAAGACTCTGGCCTCTCTGTGCTGGGCAAACTTGGGTTGGAAGCAGTCCCCAAACCCATCAGAATGGTCCCTACCTTGGTCTCATACCTGGGACCCAGGTCTCCAGTTGATTCTTGGAGTTTGCTCCCTATTTCCCCCAAGTAACCCTTGTTACATAGGACAGTGCAACCTTAGAGTTTGGGAGGCAGCAGACCGGGGGTCAAGATGCCACCATTTTACTCCATGAGAAGAAAAATGTTCCAAAGGTCCTCCCTTGATTTTCTTGGGCTCAGTTCTTCAGGGAGCCTGAGGTATGGGTCGCCCATAAGGCAGTGCAGTGGAGTAGTAAAGAATGCTAGATTTGGACTGGAGGATAATCCCGATTCTGCCATTTAAGATCGGTGTGACCTAAGGATGGAAAGGAGGACGACAGGAAACAAGTATACATTAAGCACTTACTAAGCACAGAAGGAAGCAAGTATGAAGTTCCTACTATGTGCCAGGCACTCTGCTAAGCATTTTGCAGATATTATATCATCTGATCTTTACGGCAACCCTGGGAGGCAGGTGTTCCCCACTTTACAGTGGAGAAAACTGAAGCAGAGAGAGATTTGTTGATTGTCCAGAGTCCCACAGATGAGTAAGTACCTGAAGCCCGCTTTTCCTGATTCCAGGCCCAGAACTCTGTCTACTGTGTCACCTAGCTGCCTCCCCAGGAAGGGACCTTAAAGGTCATCTCTTTCTGACTCCTTCGTTAGAGGAAGAAGCAACTAGTTGGCTCAGTGGATAGAACACTGGGCCTGGAAGTCAGGAAGACCCATCTTCACGAGTTCAAATCTGGCTTCAGACCCTTGCTAGCTGTGTGACCCTGGGCAAGTCACTTAACCTGTTTGCCTCAGTTTCCTCACCTGTAAAATGAGCTGGAGAAGGAAATGGCAAACCACGTTAGTATCTTCGCCGAGAAAATCCCAAATGGGGTCAGGAAGAGTTAGACAAGACTGAAATAACTGAACAGTGGTAGAAAGAGTCCCTGTCTGAGTTCAAATCCAGTCTCAGACACTACCTGTGTGACCTTGGGCAAGTCACTTAACCCTGTGTGATGAGGCAAACCCAAATTCCCTCATTTGTAAAATGAGCTGGAGACAGAAATGGCAAACCACTCCAGTATCAGGAAGATTTGGACAAGACTGAAATGACTGAACAGCAAAATTTTCCAGGCTCCGTGCTCAGCGCTAGGGACAAAAAGAAAGACAAAAGACAATCCTTGCCCTCCAGGAGCTTACAGTATAATCGGAGAGACAACAAGCAAACACATATTATACGGGTAAGCTAAGCATAGGATAAGGAGGAAATAATCAACAGAAGGATGACACTAGACTTAAGAAAGATTGGGAAGGCTTCCTGGAGAAGGTGGGGTTCTAGCTGGGACTTGAAGGGGGCCAGGGAAGCCAGGAGATAGAGATGAGGAGTGAGAGCAGTCCAGGCCTGGGACCAGCCAATGAAAGTACCCAGAGCTGAGCGTCTTTCTTGTGCTAGGAACAGCCAGGAGGCCACGAAAGGTAGAAGGCAGGTGCCATCATTTCTGATTAATGTAGGATCCTTCTCTGGTCATTGTGTATTTGAGTCTACTCTTGCCCTTGGAAAAGTACCCCCAAAGTGCACGTCTCCTCTTCTCTCCATCTCCCTTCAAGTTCTGTGGGCATATGCCTGTTATTTCCAGGTAAACACTGTAATTTAGGACTTCAAGGCCGCCGGCAGTGAATGCGTGCATTATTTGCTTATCTGGAAATGGCAGATAAAGCTGTACAGACTCGATTCCTGCCCCATGGGAATTTGTTGTCTCTGCCTGGTCCTGCTTCAGGATTTCCTTCTCCCTGGCCTCCTGGACTCTTCCTTCTGTGACCGAGGACTGTATCTAAAACAACCTCAGTGCTAGCAGGACCTTCTAGACTATTTGATATCTCAAACATCAGTCCTTTCTAGGATTTCCTGACCAGTGGTCATTAGGTTTCCTACTGAAGACCCTTACTGATGGAATCAATATGCGTTTTTTAAGCGTCTGCTGTGTGCCAGGCACTGTGCTGGACAAAGATAAAAGAGAAACAGTTCCTGCCTTCAAGGAGCTGACATTCTGTTAGTGAGACAACATATGCCCACTGAAGTACGCGCAAAATAAATTTGCGGTGATTTTTGATGGGGAGGCACCAGCCACGGGATGGGTCAGGAAAGGCCGCATGGAGGAGGTGTGATTCGAAAGAAGCTAGGTTTTCTGAGAGGCAGAGGTGAGGAAGGAGGGAGGGCATTCCAGGCAAGGGGGCAGTTGGTGCAGAGAGTCAGAGGTGAAATGTTGGGTGTGAGGAAGAGCAAGCAGGACAGTCTAGCTAGACGGTAGCATGCAAGAAAGGGCATTTTAAGTCAGGTGGGAAAGAAAAGGCTGGACTCAGTTGTTAGGGTATGAAATGCCAAATAGGAGTTAAAAAAATCTTTAAGGTAACAGAGAACCATCAGAGTTTATCAAGCAGGGGAATGATGCGGTCAAACCTATGCTTATGGAGTATCATTAGGGCCCCCATGTGGAGGATGGTTTGGAAAGGGGAAAACACCAGGCAGGGAGGTCAATGCAGCAGTCCAGGTGAAAGGTGGGAAGAGGAGAGAAGATGAGGCAGGTGTGAGAGATGTTGTGCTATGGGGAGGCTGGAGAAGAGGGAGGAGCCTTACTCACTTATGGAAAACTCCCAACCTCTCATTCTACTTTTGGGCCCCTCTGATTGTTAGGGAGTTCTTCCTGACAGCAAACCTCCCTTCTACCCCTTGCTTGTGCTTGTGCCCTCTGGGGCCAAGCGCAAAGCTAATCCCTCTTCCACAAGGTAGCCTTTGAAGAGAGTTGTCATGCCCCTCCTATGTTTTCTCTTCTCCAAGCTGACCTTCCTCACCTGATACAGCTGGTCCTTACTTAGCACCCAGGCCCTTCCCCACCTCTGAATATTCTCCAGTTTGCCAATGTCTTTCTTAAAATCTGGTACCTGGAACTGAACTATCATCTGACTAGGGCAGAGGATGCACGTACTATCATCTCTCTCCTTTAGGACACTATGTCTCTTTTAATGCAACCTCAGACCCCATGGAGTTTTTTGGCCGCCATGTTGTATTCTTAACTTGTATTGAGCTGGCCGCTACAACCTGCATAGCCAAACCTCCCCTACATTGTCTTTTAAGCTGGGGAGACAGTTTGGTCCAATGGAAAGAGTGTTGGCTTTTGGAGTGAAAAGACCTGGCGAGTCACTTAAACCCTGAGCCTCAACTGATTTATCTGTAAGAGGAGAGGTTTGGGCTAGATGGCCTCTAAGGGCCTCTTCTAGCCTTAAACTAATGAAGCTATTTTTTTAATTTAAAAAACCTTTGTTTTCATATTGCCTTCATTTCTAAATGTATCCCTCCTTTCTCTCCTAACCAAAGGGCCTTCCCCGCCCCATCTAGCGGCCTCAGGCAGAGGCTGGACAACCATTTGCCAGGGATGCTGTTGAGTACATGTCAGAAGAGATGTCTTTAGAACCTTCTTCCAACTCTAAGATCCTAGGATACCCCATATTTTGGGATTCTCTCGTCTTCAGTTTCCTTATAGGTCAAATGAAGATAAGTAACCTGGTGTAGTCCATAAGGCACTAGGAAATCTGGGTTCAAATCCTGCCTTATACCCTTAAAATTTGTGTGACCTTGGTCAGATCACTTAACATCTGTGGGTCTCAGTTTCCTCAACTGTAAAAGGAGGGCAGTTGGATTTAATGGCTTTTGTGGTCCCCTACAGCTTTAAATCTATGCTCCTATGATCAATTTTCTACCTTCCTCATACAGTGTGAAAATTTTAATGTCATAGATGATAGCATGGTTCTTACAGGGGTCTGGCCAGCTGAGTTCCAGTCTCTCTTCTGATAGGCAGAGGTTGTTTTTGGAGGTTCCTTTCCCCTGCTTACACAGAGAAGAGTGAAAGATGAGTTGGGTCCGGGTGAAGGGTCTGGGGAAGATGCTGCCAGCATCCTGCCATCTTCAAGAAATCAGCGCATATGTCAACGGGCCTGTTCCCCCACTGAGCCAAGTGAGTGCTAGGCCTGCCCGTGAAATTAATTCCTCCACATTATGTAAAGTGAGCTTGAGCAGGGCATAAAGATAACTGGAAGCCTGGAAATTATTCACTCAGCTTTTACCAAGCTACGCTCCTACTCCCTGGAAGAAATGGCCTGCCCAGCTGGATGGAGGCCTCCTGATTCTGGCTAATTTCATGGTGAGGACTTGGTGGCTCAGCTCATTTTTTAATTAGAATTAGGAGATGTGATACATTAAGGGGTGGATTATAGCTGTGGCAGTCACGGCCGTGCATAAGAAGACAGCCACCTACCCCGGGGATTGCCAATTGGTGCCTCCCCTTGGGGAAAGTCAAGGGTATTGCGTCTGTTCCTAAACTGATGCTGGTGACTCCTGTGGCTGGTCCTCAGACTCAGAGCCCGGCTT